TGATGCAGCTGGCCCCAGGGAAGCAAGGGTCAGTGTGAGCACACTGCGGGACGAAGGAGGGAGTGGTCAGGCCCTTGCCTGTGCTCTCCCTACCTGGCCTCACTGCCCTCCCCCCCGCCCCGGGCCTCCACATGGCCCTCCCCCCACGTGGCCCTCCGGCCTGCGCCACGACCCTCGTGCCCTCCTTCCTCACCTCCTTTCCTGTCTCCCAACGTCCTAAAGCCCGGGCTCCTCTCACCCTGGCTGACACCCACCCCACCTCCTTGGCCTCTCCTCACTCTCCGTGCCCTCGCAGGCTACCCTCCCCCACCTCATTGACGTCCGCGCAGTGGGTGCCGTTGCCCTGCAGGCCGGGGGGGCAGGGCCCGCAGCGGTAGCCGGGGTACTCGTACACTTCCATGCAGTCCACGCCTCGGAAGCAGGGGTTGGGGCTGCAGTGGGAACGCTGCTCGTGGAAGCCTGAGGGGTGGGCACGGTCAGAGCCACCCAGAGGTGGCCGTGCCAATCCCCGGAAGTGGAGCCCAAAGCCACGGGGTGGGGACCACGGGGATGCCACCTGGCGCCCACCCCCCTCTCCCACTCACCGCACACCTGACACTCCATGATGGTGTTCCGGATCAGAGACATTTCCTTCACCTGGGGGACAGAAGAACGGGGGCAGCCAGCTCCTCGCACCCACCACCCCATCCCAGAGCCAGTGCCGCCCCCTCCACCAGCGTGCTCAAACCTGGTCTCGGATATCATCGCGCAGCTCCACCAGGATCTGGTTGAAGAGAGTGAGCTGGGTGACCAGCGCCTTGGTCTGCTCACCTGCCAGAGCCCCGGGTGCAGAGAAGCTCAGACCTGGGCCACAGCCCTGGTCCCTCTTTGTGGTAGTAAGCCAATTCCTGCCCCTGCTGCGCACCCTGCCTTTAAACCCCACCCCTCTCCTGGCCAAAGAGGACTTTGTTTCAGGCCGCTGCCCAAGCCCTGGACCTCCTCCCCAGCCTCTCGCCCCTCCCCCCTCCTTGTGGCCTGCTCACCTAGGATGGAGTGGAGTGCGTTGGTCACTGGAGAGGAGAAAACACAGAGGGTAGAGACGTGAAGAGGGCCAGGCCGGTGAGGAGGAGGAAGGAAAAGAGGGGCAGGAACAAAGGCCTAGAGGAGTCTTGGAAGAAGGACGGGCAGTTGGATGGTAGGAGGGCAGAGGTGACGGGCAGGCAGCACCAGCTCTCCCCACTGGGTGAGGGACCCTCCAAGGGGGTTGCCTCACAGTCAAAACCCAGATCCTCCTGGTTCCCAGGCCTAGAAGCAGCAGAAGGGATCCAAGTGAGAGGTGACCCAGAGCAGGGCCAGGCCCCCAGTCCGCTCCATTTCCGCTCCAGCCCCCCTACCAAGCTTCTGGGAGAAGTGGGCATTTTATTTAGGTAAGAACCTCTGAACATCCTTGTCAGAGACACCAGGCAGATGGACAATGCTCAGACTGCTGGTAGGTGACAGCCTCCAACGAAAGCTAAGAAAGACCCAAGACCCTTCCCTGGGTCACCAAGACCAAGCAGTTAACTTTCTCACCCCCACACGGAGTGCTTGGGAGTTCTATTCTTCTCCTCCATCGCTCTATTTTCCCAGCCACCGTGGGAGGCGGGGCCACCTGAACAGGGAGACTTTTCGAGCCACGCCTCCTGGGATGGCTGTATCTTTTGGAGATCACAGAGCCAGAGGCAAAGGAGATTGGGGGTGACAGGGTCAGAAGCCCCAGAAAATGAGTGAGCCAAAGGAATGAGCGTTAAGGGGGAAGACAAGGAGATGAGAATCAACAAAGACCACAGGAAGTGATCTGGGGTCCAGAACGTCAGCTCCGTGTTACCTGCACTGTGGATGGACTCGTCCCCCTGGAAGGGACACTCACTCAGGGCTCCCACCCGGGCCATGGACCCGCCCAGAATCATTTTCATAGATTCCACGAAGCCCTGGGTGGGGGGGACAGGAGCAGAGTAGGGTGGGAAAATCCATCAGCTCCTCCTCCCCCTGCTGCTGCAAAATGCATCTGCAGGAACTCGGGGGCCCTCCCTCCCTGCTCACCTGCATCCTCAAATACGCTTTCTGTCCAGTCCGGATCTCCAGCCCGTCGACCTCCGCTGGAGGAATGGGGGCCAGCGCAGGGAGGCCAGCATGCTGGTCTCCCAGTTTGCAGTCCACATAGAGCTGCAGGGCAGGGCTGGGTCGGGCGGGGCCGCGGAGCCGCAGGAGAGCCGTGTGTGTGCGACCGTCGGCCAGGCCTGCTTGCTGGAGGCTCACCGCATGCCCTCTGCTGTCCTCTCGCTGGTACCGCACCAGGACTGCCCGGGAGGGGAGGTCAGTACGGGCCCTGCCCCCCGCCCCGTCTCCCAGCTGAGCCTCGAGCCAACTCTTCTGGACGGCATGCCCATCAGCCCCTAGTCAGCTATGTATCTCTCGCCACCTTGTATGTGATGGGCACACAACAGACGCTTTTCAGACCGGTTCAGAGACAAGGACGTCCTTAGTCTTCAGTCACTCTGTCCCCTGCTAGGGTGGCAGCTGGTTCTGTACCCACTGGACTGCCGGGGATCTGAGGGGCTGCTGAATGCCCTTGCTGGGACACGTAGACATGCCTCTCCCTCCCCCAGGCAGCCCCAAGTACAAAACCCCCTCCCTACAAGTATTAGGCCTCACTCTCTTGTTTGGGTACCTGGCCTCCTGAGGCACCTCCTAAGCACCCCATTCCAGGCGCCCCTGGTGCCTGAGCACAGCCGGATGGGTCCATGGGCCCCCACGGAGCCCAAGGAGAATTAAGAGGGATATGGGAGTGGGGACGAGGGATCATCGCTGCAGGAAAGGAGATGCCCACCAGTCACCTTTGTTAATTTTGCCCACAACTGAGGCCTCCAGCCATCGTGTGTTGTCCTGGCGAGAGTAGAGGCCAAAGAGGACCCCACCCTGCTTGGGGGGCAGGCGGAAGGTGGACAAGAGGTAGATGTCTCCAGCAGTGAGCAGGGCTGCCCGGATCTTCTCTGCTACAGCTGTCATCTGCCGAGACTCGCCCACAGTCAGCAGGTCAATCACTGGCCAGGCAAGGATTACCAAGGTCAGAGAGAGGGGTCAAATGCCAAGGCCTGCCCTTTCCGCTGAGCCCTCAGGGGCGGAGCATCCTTCATCACTACCCCCCACCCCCGCCCCCAGGCAGCGTTAGTCACCTTCTTGAAATTCAATCCTTGCTGCTATCAGAAGACAAGGCTTTGTGCCTTCCTTTCCCTCAATATTGCCTACTGCCACCCTCTGGAACCCGAAGGCCTGAGCCTCTCGGAAATACGGAAACAGCGCCCGGCACAACTGAGATGCGCCCACCAGGTGGCGCAAGGGAGCCACTGTGCTGATCCCACGCAGAAGTAGCACCTGGTGCCCACAGCGCAGAAATGGAAAAGCAGTTTCTCTTTACGGGGCTGGTTTGGCTCATTCCACACCCGAACGCCCCTCCTCCCATCCTGGGGGCTCAGCACACACACTCTGGATGAGAAGAGCTGCCCACTGAGGGCTCCGACCCTCGTACTGTCTGCCTCTCCCCCACGGGAAGGTAGGACCCAGCTCCTCTGCCTCCCGTGTCCTGGCCAGTCTGTGGTTTCCCCTCCAGCCAGTAATGAATCCGTGCCTCTGTCATCTGCTCCAGCTACCTCTCCCACACCCACAGGCCCATCCCACAGCCAGACCTCCGGGAGAGCCCAGACCTCTCGGTCCCCACCCCCACCCTGTCCTGGGGCAGCCAGGAGCCCAGCGGGCGAAGAAGCCCACCTTTGCACTGCTCTCCCAGATCCTGGGCTGCCTGCGGATGCTCAGACACCAAGCCAGCCGGGGCAGCCCTAGCATCCAGCTCCTGAGTCCTCTGCCCCGGCCTCACGCTGACCCTGGCCAGTTCCTACTCACCCACCACCCTCTGGTGTTCACTCCTCCGTCTGTGGCCCTAATTTCACCAATTCTTCCCTCCTGGTCAATTTCAGGACTCTCCCCTGGCCCACATGTTGCCTGCTACTCGGCTGGGGGCAAACGGGGAGGAGGCCCGGCGGGGCGGGGTCTAAGAGGATGGAGACAGGCTTACCCTGCAGGTCCTGACTGGCAGATGCGAAAGTGCAAAGGAGGAGAAGAGCCAGGGCCCCTCGAAGTTCCTGCGTCTCCATGCCGCTCAGCTAGCTCACTACCCCTGGCGGGCAGGCGGCTGGGAGGGGAAAAGGCTAGGCGGAGAGAGCAGGAGCGGGGGGCGGAGGGACTGCAAGGGGGAGGTGAGGGGGGGGGCCATCAGGCGGGTGAGGGGGGGCTGAAACAAAGAGCTGCCGATCAGCCCGGAGGCATCCCCAGCCCTGGGAACCAGAGGCACTGGGGAAGAGTCTGGAGGCCTCCCCGCCTCCTGCCTCTCCCTAACGGTCCTCCCTCCCAGGTGCCTCCCTCCCTGCTGGCATCTCGCTGCTGGGGGCCACTACCGAACGCTACTGTTTCCTGTAAGTCACAGTCGGGGAAGGCAGGAACCCCAGGCAGGGGCAGTGCCAGACAGTGGGCATTATTCCACAACTGGCATCAGAGGATGCCAAGGGAGTGGTGGAAACTAGCTTGCTATCGTGCCCAGGGGATGCCCACATGGCTTGAACTTCGCTGCTCTGACGAAGCAAGTGCTCTTTATTAGGGTGGGGGTCCCCTGACACGTGCCTCATTCCTGGGAAAACGGGGAGGCCTCTGCTAGGAACTGGAGGGCCAGCCTAACACAGCGGTCAGTGAAGGGGTTGGACGGAAGGAATCGGGAACGAGGAAAGGGCCAGCAGGGCCGGGAGTAAACCAGGGGACAGGCAAGGGGCCGGGGCCAAACAGGGAACACATGGGGTACTGGCGGGCAGGCCGTGACCCGGATGAAGCGGAGGGGCGCCTCGGTTCCCGTTACCCCGGCAACGGCCCGCGAGCCCCACCCCCTCCCCCCATCCAGGCCCCAGCCCGACCCGGCTCCGGCCGCCGCCGCCCCTGTTTTGTTTCCATGGCGACAGGCGGCGCGGGGCGGGCTCCAAACATAACGCGCTGTGGAAAACATGCGGCTCGGGGGACCCCCCCGCGGCCCCTGCTCCGGGCCGAGCCCCGCGGGGCCCGGGCGCAGCCCAGGCCGCGTGCAGGGCTGCGAGAAACCCCAGAGCCGGCCCGGGCGCACAAGACCCGCTTCGCCGGGACCCGCCGCGCCCTCGGGGGTCCGGGGCTCCCCGCAGCCAGGGCGCCCAGCCTCCGCGAGGAGGGCCCGGCCGAGAACCCTTCCCCCCTTCGGGACCCGCCTCTGGAGCCGGCGGCGACCACCCTCCCCAGAAGCCCTCGGCTCCGCCCCGCGCCGCCCCGCCCCGCCTCGGAGCTCGCTCCGGCCCCCGCCTCCGGCGGCCCGAGGGGCGGGGCGGGTGGAGGGGGCCGCGCGGGGCCGGGCGGAAGCGCGAGGGGAGGTGCTTCCGGGACAGAGGGCGGGCAAGATGGCGGCGCCCATGGAGCTGTTCTGCTGGTCGGGGGGCTGGGGGCTACCGTCAGTGGATCTGGACAGCCTGGCCGTGCTGGTGAGGGGTGGCGCCACTGCCCTCTGCTGCGCTCTGGAGGAATTGGGGGGGGACCGAACTGGCCGATCGTCCGAATTTTGCCAGGGCGCCTCAGCGCGGGAGCACTGGGGGAAACTGAGGCAATCAAAGACTGTGCCTAGCCCATATGGGCTCAGTGCCCTATGGCTTAACAGCCTAGGTTTCGTGCAGCCACAGCAAGAGGCCTGGTTGGGGGTTCAGGAAATGGGTCGTAAGTCCTTGCTCATCCACTTACTGGCTATGTGACCTTGGGGCGATCCCTTCTCGTCTCTGAGCGCTGTTTCTTCATCTGGGGTTTACTGAGCCTGGACGACCTCCGGGCTCTCGGGCTTGGCATTCCTGTCTTCTCAGCCTCCCTTTCCTCCTCCTCCTCCTCACTGAGCAGCATTTACTGAGCTTATTTATTGAACCAAAAGGCTTACCGCCAGGCTCTGTGGAAGGAGCTTTGCAGTCAGAAAGACTAGTTCACTTCATTCATTCATTCATCCTTCATTTAATAAGCACGTATCAGGCCTCTTCCAAGTACCGCACATTGGCACGCAAAGATGAGTAAGACTTAGTTTCTCCCCTGCAGTTGTTTGCAGAACGGCAGACATGTTAGCAAATGAAAGTAATGTGTTCAGGTGCTAAGGTTTAAGTAGGAACAGGCCACAGAGACTCCCAGAGAAGGACATGGTCAGTGCTTTCAAGGAAGGGGAGGTACTGGTTGGGAGGAACTTAGGAGGCTATGTGTACATCAGGTAGATGGCAGGAGAGGGGACGGAGGGGAGGCTTTGAGTGGCAGACCTGGCCACACTCTCTGAGCCCTGTGTTGCCCATTGTGAAATGGCAACCATAACGCCCACCTCTTCTTCTGTGAGGCAGGTACTAAGCGTAGCACAAAAGGAATTCAATAGATGTTACTTCTCTTCCTGATCCCCTCTGGGGGCCTCTCTGCCTTCTGCTTCCTTCCCTGCAGACCTATGCCAGATTTACTGGTGCCCCACTCAAGGTGCACAAGATCACCAACCCCTGGCAGAGCCCTTCAGGTACCCCATGTTCCTGGGGGGGTGAGGAAGGGGTGGAGCAGGAGACGGACAGGAATGTGGTGTAAATCCATATGGATAGGCAGCTAAGGGTCTGGTGGGCGTCCTTTTTTCTCAATGTCAGGAACTCTGCCTGCCCTCCGGACCAGTCATGGAGAGGTCATCTCGGTACCACACAAGATCATCACCCACCTTCGAAAAGAGGTAGGTGGCTCGGGAAGGAGGGCTGCCAGTGAGAGTGGTTCAGTCATTTCAGTGCAACACACCTTTATTGATAAATGTCGAGCTAGATGCAGGAGACCCAGAGCTTCAAGGAACACGTAGTCCGATGGGAGAGACACACCCAGAGCTGCTGAGAGCAGTAAAGCACTAGGCCAGGCATGAAGCTGGGGAGCTGGGGAGGCATCTCGAGGCACAGTGCCTTTTGCCTGCTGGGCAGGGAGGGAGAGGTGAACGGGCTGATGACACAGGGAAGGGAAAGGAGGGCAGAAGAGAACATCTGGCTCAGACGAGGCCCTCAAAGGTGGCTCCTGTCCTTCTCACAGGACTAGGTTGGGCTGGATATGGGGCTTAGGATGGACAAGGCTTCAAGCCAGCGTGGGGAAGTGGAGGGAGTATTACAAGAGAACTAGGGATACCTTGACTATGCTCTTCCCTCTGTCCTTGACTGTGTGACCTTGGGCAAGTTCCTTCACCTCTCAGAGCTTTAAGTTCCTTGTTTGTGAAAGGAGGGGGCTTAGGATCTTCCCAATGGCTCCTCATTCATGGGAACACTTGTCAGAAGCGGGGCCTCTTCTTCATTTCTGCTTTCCGAAGGGTGAAGGAGCTGGGGAGTTCAGTGGAGGCTTGGGAGGCATGGAGAGAGGGGATCCAGGTAGAATGCAAAGTTCCTGGCAGGGACTGGGCCACTGCCCTGATTCCTTATGTATGAGCACAGCTTTTGCAGTTTCCAGAGTGTTCTCCTAACACAGCCACATTGAGAGAAAATTCTACAGGGGAGAATCTGAGGCTCAGAGAGATTTTTTTTTTTAAGGATCATGTTCCAGAGGTTATGTGGGGACAAAACTTGCTCAGGATGTGGAGAGGGTTGCTGAGGACCAGACACTGGAGCCTACAAAGGTGTGGCAGGCTGAGAGCTGGGGTACGGTTAGAATGTGTGTGGTGGCGCCCGGGCCATGGAATGAAATAGAAGAAATAGCCCTGGGCATTGAGAGAACAAGCCAAGGGGCCCTGGGCATGAGGAAGGCGTCGCCTAGTTCCTGGGGCATGGACTGAGGCCCACACGGCATCTGAGCTCCGCTCTGCCAGCCGTGTGGTGCCTGGACTGGGGAAGGTCCTGTTAGAAAGTCGCCGTCAGCAGGCATATGCTGCCAGCTTTCTGTGGAGGCTCCGGGAGCTGCTCCTGGTTTGCGGCTGGGCCTGCCTTTCTCCCCGCAGTGGGCGCCCAACCTTGATGGCCAGCAGGCTCCGAGGCCCAGGCTTTCCGCCAACAGCAACAGGCTACTGAACGGGCCCAGGCAAGGGGGCCTCAGCAGGAAAAGCTGCTTGCTCTACCTCTGCTACACTCAGAGGCTGTGATGGGAGCAGGAGACAGGATGCCTGCCTCCTTGGGGACGTGCCCTGGAGCCTCCCGGTGTCCGCCTCACGGGCATCTCCTCCACAGAAGTACAACGCTGATTATGATCTGTCAGCCCGGCAAGGGGCAGACACGTTGGCCTTCATGTCTCTGCTGGAGGAGAAGCTGCTCCCGGTGCTGGTGAGTGCGCCCAGACCTCCCAGCGTTCGTGGCCAGTAAGCGGGGGGGGGGGGGGGTGTCATGGACACACTCACACACACGGAGGCCAGGGGCAGCACAGAGGCCCACCCTAAGTCAGGCAGCTGCACTGGCTCAGACCTGCTTCCTCCTTCCTACCTCCCCAATCCAGATACATACTTTTTGGGTAGACACCAAGAACTATGTGGAAGTGACCCGGAAGTGGTATGCGGAGGCCATGCCCTTTCCCCTGAACTTCTTCCTTCCCGGCCGCATGCAGCGGCAGTTCATGGAGCGGCTGCAGCTGCTGGGCGGGAAGCACAGGCCTGAGAACGAGGAAGAGCTGGAGAAGGAGGTACCTCTGGGGCAGGGGGCTGCTGTAGGAGAGGAGCCCCAAAGACGATGGTCAGGAATGGGGCTGCCCGGGCCGGGAGGTGGCTCTGTTCCCGCAGCCGCGAGCCTGCCTTGTGTCCTCCCTACAGCTGTACCAAGAGGCTCGGGAATGCCTGACCCTGCTCTCCCAGCGCCTGGGCTCTCAGAAGTTCTTCTTCGGAGATGCGTGAGTCTGTCTCCAGGGGAAAGATAGGTGGTTTGGGAGAAGATACGGGTTCAGGTGTCGCCGCAGGGACTGGGGTGGCTCAGGCGCCGGACGAGAGGTCCTTGGGACAGACACTGGGCCTGATGACAGTGGGGCTGTGTGTGAGGTGGGAGGGCTGCCAGGCACAGGGGGGGCCTGCAGGGCTGCGGGGCGCTCAATGTGCCCTTTATGCAGCCCCGGGATAGAGTCCCATTCAGGGCCAGGCTGGCGCTGCCTGGGGAGCCCTCCCCACGCCAGGTCCAGAACCGGGTGTCCTCTCCTCCCCTGGGGGCCCTCCGCTGCCAGAGCCCACCTCCCACCTCCCAGGGCCCGCTCTTCCTCCCACTCTGTCCCCACCCCTTCTGCCACAGTCTCTCCTCCTGCCCTCTCTCTCTGCTCCAGCCCCGCCTCCCTGGACGCCTTTGTCTTCAGCTACTTGGCCCTGCTGCTGCAGGCCAAGCTGCCCAGCGGGAAGCTGCAGGCCCACCTGCGGGGGCTGCAGAACCTCTGCGCCTACTGCACACACATCCTCAGCCTCTACTTCCCCTGGGATGGAGGTAAGGGGCAGACGGGGGAAGGGGTGGGCACCAGCCCTGGGGAAAGTGGGCAGGAGTCCAGGAACTAGCCCCCCACCCCCCACCTTCCTTCCTTGTCCCTCAGCTGAGGTGCCACCCCCACACCAGACACCAGTGGGCCCGGAGACTGAGGAGGAACCGTACCGGCGCCGGAACCAGATCCTCTCTGTGCTGGCAGGCCTGGCAGCCATGGCGGGCTACGCCTTGCTCAGTGGCATTGTCTCTATCCAACGGGCAACGCCTGCTCGGGCCCCGGGCGCACGGTCCCTGAGCATGGCTGAGGAGGATGAAGAGGAGTGACTTGCCCTCACGCCCCCGGGACTGAGTTTTCTACTGTCGTACATTCCAGAGGCCCCCGTGTTGCCCCATTGCCAGTACGGCTGGAAGTGGGGTGCCGCTCCCGTAATAAACCTGTCCACGCTGACTGGAATCCGACACTCTCTTCCTTAAGGGGCCACCGTCCTTCCTGGCCGCTGTGCAGGGGGCCGTGTGGGGCCCGGCCTCCCTCACGTCCTCCTTTCCTCAGCCGCCCCCCACCCCCAGCTTGTGTTTGTCCAGACGGTGAGCTCACCCTGGGCCCCAGCCCAGTTTCCACGGAGCCGGCACACAGCATGGGGGTGGGGCCGCCGGGGCTGCCCTGTCCTCTCCCGAGGGGCCTCCAGCCCCCGGCCCCAGCCAGGGGGAGAGTGACTCACCCAAACCGCTGCTCCCCGGCTTACGTCACCTACGCTCCCCCCGGCCCCCCTAGAGCCTCCTCAGCCACACACAGCACGTGAGCCGACTCTGTCCCTTTAATGCCCACGCCGAGCCCGGGCCCGGGCCGTCACTGGCGACGCCACAGGTAGGTGTGGATGGAGTAGCCCGGGGACAGCGTCTCCACGAAGCCCACGCCAGGGTCCTCGATGGTGAGAGGCACGTCCTCGGGGGAGCTGGCGAAGGCGGGGAGGAGAGG